TAACACCCCGGGACATCCTAAGGGTAGAGGCGGCATTGAGCGGTTGCACAGCACGCTGAGTGATCACATCCGGGTGTATCAGGGGGAAAAAGGGTTGGAGCCGGATGTTGCAATGAAGAAAGCGGTAACAGCCTACAACCACTCGATTCACTCCGTCACGGGATTTTCGCCCGTGGAAGTACTATTCGGGATGCGCAGGCCAAGGCGAGATTGCGGGGAAACAACGGTTAATGAACCATTAGTCGAGCAAATCCAGAGCAATAGGGTGGAGATGGAAAAGACGTGGGGAAGAGTAACGGCGAAAATTAAGCGGGAAAAGGAGAAGCGGGTAGAGAGGCAGAATGTTCGCGTACGTGACCAAATGGGTGATCTAAAGATCGGGACAATAGTGTACCGTAGAGTAGGGACCAACAGAGGGAAACAATTGTTACGATACGAGGGTCCATTCAGAGTGATTGCTATTAGGGAGCATAATCTACTAACGATCGAAAGCGTTAATGAACCTAGAAAGAGGAGAACGGTTCACATTGAACAATTGAAGCTCCCAATGATAGAACCGGAACATAAACTAACGGATTCGTAGTACCCTCACCACGTTATAACAAATATGTTTTTTTTTGGTTGTCTAAGCAAAAATATGGTGTATTTTTTTTTTATGTGTAAATAGAATCATAGCAATACAGTAGAGGAAAGTGTATTATTTTTTTTTTTCTTCTTCTCTGTTTTTTTTAGGATTTTAAGAGTTCTGTTTTTGGAAGCAAGTGTTGTGTTTAGTTCTGTTTTTTTTTATTTCTTTGTATTATTGTATGTCTCGAGTGAGTTTTACTTTCTTTCAACTTTATACTTGTAAAAACAATTGTAAGGTGTTAAGACTGATAATCGTTAGCTCCGATCTAGGAATATCTAAGTTTCCGAAAAATCCTATTCGTAAACTGGTGGGGGGGAGATAAAGACCGGAGACCGGCGATATCAGCCTTAATACCGTCCTGAATGTAAATAAACATATGAAATGTATATAAGGAGGATTACTAAAGGAATAAATCAGTATCTTTTCTGAAACCGTGAGTGTTGCATTTCAAGCCCTTTCCTTTCTTTTTTTTTATTGTTAGAGTCCGCCGACGCTTAACTTATATATATATATATATATATATATATATGTATAATGCACACACACATATATATATATATTTTTAATATATATATTATATATAATTATTATATTATATATATATATATATATATATATATATATATATATATATATATATATATATATATAATATAATATAATATAATATATATTAAAAATATATATATATATATATATATGTGCATTATACATATATATATATAAAAACTTAAGTTCACGTTAAAGAACAGAAATATAAAAAGAGGGAGAGAGAGAGCTGAAATAACACGAAAGACTGTATTATAAAGAATGATATATCGTTCTCCTTGCTCCTCAATATATATATATATGCAATATTCTGTTCTGGCAAAATACAATAGTCTGTTCAAATATATTTTTTATTGACCACACGTGTAAATTTACATGTATCAAAAATATGGTGAATCTGTGGCAATATAGGAAACAATGCCAATGGGGGGTTTAAATCTAGAAAGAATTAGCAGTATCTATTAGATAGATTTAAACCCCCCATTGGCATTGTTCCCTATATTGCCACAGATTCACCATATTTTTGATACATGTAAATTTACACGTGTGGTCAATAAAAAATATATTTGAACAGACTATTGTATTTTTTACAGTAGTAAAGATGGCCTTCTGAAGTCATAAGACGATAAAAAAAACTTATTAACATATTGTTCTGTTATTCTTTCTCACAGATGTTTTTGTAACATTAACCTAGAATGGGTAACATTTATTCTCATAATCCATTCACTTGAAGCTGTTAATAATCCTTAACTAATATATTTTTTTTTCAATGACCACGGACAAATATTGATGAAGGACGCAACTTTCGCATACGACCCTAGTTAGTGATAATGGAATTGCTACTATGTGGACAAATTATTACCATGCCGCACACTGGGATGAGCCTAAGATTTCTTTCATATCGACCCTTCCTCATTCGTAAATCGCAGTATACTGCTTAAATTTGGTCTGTTTATGTTTTTTTATTGTATTGAATTTTAATTCAAGCTATTTGGTGGATAAAATTGATGCATTAAAAGCAAAATAATAAAATATTAATTTTTATTTTATCTTTAATTTAATTCTATGGGTAATATTTTTTTGTTTTTAAAAGTTGTTTGAGTACATATGAAGTTACATTTACGATAGTATGTACCCTCCGAGGTGTCTGAAAAGAAGATGGCCTCGGGATCTTCTAATATAGAACTTTAATTTGAGTTCTACCAATGGGTAGTTTCTCTTCATATTTTACAAGTCATGTTACCAATGTCACATTTACCTGTTGTATTTTTAATGTAATACAGTTGTAAATTTCAATAAAATTATAAAATAAAAAAAAAAACGATAGTATGTTACACATTGTTGCGCCAATAAAATAATTATACAATATGAAATTATATACATATATATATATATATATATGTGTGTGTGTGTGTGTGTGTGTGTGTGTGTGTGTGTGTGTGTGAGTGGAATTTTAAAAATTACTTTTCAATTCACATTTAGAACGCAAATTTTCAGCTTCTTGTAGTATTGTATATTTATTCAATGAAATCGGAAACGATTTAGCAAATTTTTAAATATGTCTCTGCTATTATCAATTATTGACGAGATAGATCTATAGAAACTAGAAAAGTTCAATCTGTCTACTGATATACTTATTCAATTTTTTTATTTGGCTATCAAAAGTAAAACATTGTACTTATTCGAATGTTAGCAATATTTTTATTTATTTTATTTTTATGTATGATGTATATATGTATCATGAATGAAAATGTATATATATCACAAATGAAAATGTATATATCTATATATTTTACTAATATAAACTAACACTTCTGTATATTTATATATAAAAGTTCATTTATTATCCTAATGATTAAAGAGTATGCTGTGTATATAGCAACCCAATACAATTGGGCAGCAATATTTTATATTTTTATGAAAATAAAGTGTTTCTCTCTCTATCATGAGATTTACAACTCTATAAATTAAAAATACATCCAGTAAATGTTCACAAGGTAATACAACAATCACATGAAAACGCTTGTTGAGAAACTACCCATTGGTAGCACCCTAAGCAATATTTTAAAACGTGATTCTGTTTTCGTTTTCCGTTATTTTAATCAAATATTCTATGAACAAAATATTTTTTAACATTATTACTCTATTTATATAAAGTATTTTATATTAAATAAAATATAGTGTCTTGTTCAAAATAATTATTTTACGCAATGTAAATATTTGAAGTATCCGTGTAAAATAAATATTGTAAAAATATCCGCGGTAGATATCAATATATTGTTTAAAATCCATATATTGTAGTTTGTATTGTAAACAATAAATTGTTTAGATATTGTATAATTTATTATCTACTCCATAACGATCTATTTTTTTTTTTTTTTTTTTTCACGAACAGGCCTTAATACCAAGAGAATATAACGAAATTAATGCTTCCTCTTCATGTGCCTCCTCTTTTTCCAAAAATGACCTATTATAATATAATATAAATATTTAAAGTTACATGTATGTAAAAATAAAACATATTTAAAATATTTTTTTTTTTTAATGTATATTTGGTTTTTCGGGCGATTTGCGAAATGAACCAAAATTTCTTGCTATTGTTCGAAATGTCGTAACAACTATGTATATATTTAAAAACCGATGTTTCAGCTGTATAATATTCACTAAGAACATCTAATTCTGCTTAGCACATACCGTTAGGTTTGAACAAAAAGTACCGGAAAACCAGCTCTAAATATAAGAAAGATTCATTTCTTCTCTTATTATCTCCCATCAGGCCATTATTAATGCGATAATTAAGTTAAAAAATACTGGACATGAAGGGGGAACGATATTAGTTTGTGACTAATGCAGTACAACTTCCAAATTGTAACTTTAGTTATTTCTCCTAATGTCCAACCATAGCGCCCCAGTGTGTGGCTTATTAAAATTTAATATTTTTGGTTAATCATGCAATTTTTAAAAAAATTCGGAAAAGATTGTGGTTTTGAAATAACGATTTTAAAGTTGATTTAAAATCTTGAAAATCGCAGATGAAGCTCATTGCATTACAGAATGTTGAGAAAATACATTTATCATAAGTACCAACATCGAAATAGATTATATTAGAGAAATGTTTATGAGCAAATTTTGTAGTCCTGACTTTCTTGGAATATGAGAACTTCATGCTCCAGTTCCACGACTGATTACTGAACTAGTATTAATTCGAAATATAGAATTCACTGGTAAAAGCGAGATGGGTTGTATGTAGTATCTGCAAGTTTTTCACGACAAGTGCAACATTTCGGAATTGTAATACGGTTTTGTAAAACTAAACAAAACAAAAAAAACACGATATGCAGTCACAATAATGTTTAACAATCCCTTCTTGCATGCTGATGATAACTTTGAAAAATTATGCATGGTCAGATAAAAAACAGTGACCACGGAAAGCTCTCTCAGCATCCACTTTTTTAATGAGCACATTATTATTAATGTAATAATGTTTTTCTTAGCATTTTAAAGGAGAATACATTTATACCACAAGTGGCTCTTCATTGCTTTTCTTTGTTTATCTGTTCTATTAAATTAGTATTTTTTTGTTAGTTTAGCCAATCACCTAGAAGTGCCGGACAATCCATTTGCTTAAGATGTTTTCCAAGTATTTTTGATTATCTCCACTTAATTCCTTGTTTTGAATTTTCCCACCTCTTTAAATACTTAAAGTTGATCGTATTTAATGACACTCATTGAGGCAGCAATTTCAGAATATTGAAGTTAATATTTGATGTTATATCTGCTATTAAACTTAAAATAAAAATAGAAAAAAATAATATTCACCAACGCATATCCTGTGGGATGGTACTCCCGATTGTATTTGTTCGTCAACGATTCTTCGCAGATATTCGCCGGCCTCTTCTACCTGTTGAGTGTTCTCGACGGCATTCAGGCGGAATGCATTTATATCGTACCAAGTGTTTGACACCTGAAATATTTTTAATTTTACTTATAAAATATAAATTTAACATTAAAATTGTTTAGGAAATTTCATCGCTTCCGTTAATAGACCAGTAAAATTATTCAAAAAAATAAAAATGAACCTTGTCAGAAATTGTTTATTACCCTTCCAATAATAACTGATAAAAATTCACAAAGAATCCCACGTCGAGTTTTGATGGAGGAGCAAGGAAGAATGACAGATTTTATTTTATTTTTTGTTGCTTGAGAATATGTCAAAAAATATAAAGTTTTTCGTAAATATTGTTGAGTACAATATGAAAGTACTTTAAAATGTATACAAAAATGATTTTGTACATTTTTTTTTTTTTATAAAATCAATTGCTACGGAGATATGCATGAGATTATATTTGTTGTATTTCCACTTTAAGCAAAAATTGTTTCAAACGACAACATTGATGGTTTTTATAGTAAGACGATACATTTTTGAAGTTTAATTAGTTTTTTAAAACATTCTCTATCGTTCAAATAATTATTCAAAGCTTCTTTATTTTAATAATCCTAAAAAGTCATTGACAATAGAATTATGTTAAGTATCAATCAATGAGGAATTTCGTCATAATGATATAAAGTTTAGATTGACATTAATTTCTAATAATTGATAATATGATGTGATAGAATACATTAGAACTTATAAAAAGTTACCATAAACCATTATATGTTTCGATACAGAGAACCGGAAAACTTAAATATTGTGATTTTTTTAGCCAATTGTAATGTGATTTAGCCAATCATGTTTTATGTTGAATAAAAAGCAATAACTAAAAACATACGTAATTTAGGTTACAACTAATTAATGAATAGTAAACTATATTAAATTAAAATTAAAATTAAGTAAGTCTTGTCTATTTCAAAACCAATTAAAGGGGACTTTTAAGCAGTTAAAGTAGGGTAAGCTCGGTTTTTCATAAAATCAAGGATTCTTCGCGATTTTTTTTTATAAACTCTCAACTGGACAGAAGTTACCACACTCCCGGAAAAACTTCCTTGTTTGATGAGTTTTAAGTCTGTATTAATTAAGTTGTGGTTTGTTACAGAGTAAGTTGAGATTCATCCCAAATCATTACGGGATTATCAGGAAGGTCATGCATTAGTTGTCAATAAACGGTTAGACGATGTACAAGTTTTAAAATTTCACTCATAATGAAATTGTTTTCAATTCAAAGGAAAGATATTTTTACAAACCGAACTCAAACATTAATATATAAATGTGATAACTTGATTTATTTTAAAATGTGTACCGGTTTTGGATATTTTATCTTTTAAACGTGTTAATAGATAGTAATCTAATTTTCAATTAATCGCGAGAGACTATGAAGCTGTTATTATTCTCTAAACTCTATTCAAATCCGATAATTTAATGGGAAAAGAAAACCAATTGGTAAGAAGCCACCCATCGATAACACTTAAAACAACGGCTAAAAAAACGTTGATGAATCGAGTGATAAGAATTAAAGAATGCCATTTTTGTAGGCATACGTGAATACTGTTTTTATCATACATGAAATATTATTAGTAGAATTGAGCGCATGAAAAATCTAAATTTAAATTGTATGTAATAATATAATAGAGAAAGTTTGATGGTAGTTTTTAGAAACACGTTTTTTCAGAAAAAGGTAATATTAGTTTAAATAAATGCTTTTAGTCAATTTTAATACTTTAAAGATTGTAAATATTTATGATCATTTTAACATCAGAGGGATATTATTAATTTTCTGTTCGACTTGACCTTTTAGAACAATGACATTTACAATGCTTTTGCGGTTTATACTTGTTCCGCTAACCGAGAATAACCTGTAATAAAAAAGGAATATTTTATATCTACAGTAAATATGAAACGATATTTTCTCAGTAAGAACGATTGCAGGATTTATAAAACGATTGTTATTGATAAAACGTTGATGACCCGTCAATGACTAGGTACTCGTGTCAAATTACTTTCCACTTAAAACATTCTTCATCCAATATCGATTACCAAGAAATCAGATTTATTTACGTACTTACGTTGGTTTTAAAATATTTATTTAATTCATTTGGAAAGTTTTTATTGTTTTAGATTAGTCATACTGCGTATGATACACGTTTTACATGCTGAATAAATCAAAGAACTTCAATAAATTTAATTTTTGAGAATACTATTGTTACGTGATTCTATTATATTTATTGATAAATAAAAAAAAAACACCTAAAAATAATACTCATATTTCAGTTATAACCTAATAACTATTTAATTTAAAAAAATTTAAAAATATTTTTAAAAACCATTAATTTATACCAACAAGTATAACTAAAGATAGGCCATATTCTGATAGGTAGAAGCCATGGAAGCAATTCACAAAATGTGAGAACATTCAGATTAGCAAATGTGGATTCGGACCACTTTCTGGGCATAGCACAAGTGACGGCGAGAATCTGCTCGGTGAGGAATTCAAAAGCTTCCGAAAAAACCAAAAGTTTCAACCTTAGAAAGCTAAAGGATGTACAGACTCAGCATGCTGCTATGCTGAAATTTTAGACACTAAATTACGCCTGGGAAGCTACGATGCTGGACATTGAAAAGTTCTAGTCGGACTGTTGTAAAGCGATAATGAAAGCGGCTGAAGAAGCGTTAGGACCATACGAAAAGGAACCAAGATCACCCTGGTTTGATGAGGAACGCAGAGCAGCCACGAACATGAAGAACGTTGCATATGAAGCAATTATTAGAACAACCACAAGGAGGTTGACGAATACCGATAGAGAAGAAAAGAAGAGAAATGTTTACATCGCAAAAGGAGAGAGGAGAGGAGATAGAAAATATAGGGAAGTAAAGATTTCTTCAGAATGGTCAACAAGGAAAGAAAGCAATATATTAATAAATTAAAATCCTGTAGGAATAAAGAAAGTAACCTGATGACCAACATGTCGGATGTTCTTGACGAATGGAGGATTGACTTCAATAATCTTGACATCAATAACTCAAGTGATAAAGATACCTGTAATGAAGTAATAAATCAAGAAGAAGAAATCAACAGAATACAGATGAAAAGAGAAAGATCTTGAACCGCCTGATGAAGATTAGTTTTACATGCTGAATAAATCAAAGAACTTCAATAAATTAATTTTCTGAGAATACTGTTGTTACGTGATTCTATTATATGTATTGATAAATTAAAAAAAACACCGAAAAATAATAATCATATTCATCAGCAAACTCAAAAATAATAAGGCTCCTGGTGCTGACGCACTCCCTGCTGAACTTTTAAAATGTGGTAGAAACGAGCTTACCAAAGCTCTGTAAGATCTCTTCCTTGTGATATGGACTGATGAAATGAGGCCCCTGGAATAGGTCAATTATCTGTCCTATACAAAAAAGGATAGGTTGCTGTACAGCAATTATCGCGGTATTTCGCTGCTGTCTTGTGCCTATAAGATTCTATTTCATATTCTGTTAGGACGTATTTTGCCATATGCTGACAGTGAGCTTGGTCCGTACTGGAGTGGGTTTAGGAATGGAAGATCCACCTCTGACCAGATGTTTTGTGTGTAAACCATTCTTGAAAGAGGCGATGAGTATCAAACCAAAACTCACTATCTTTTCATCGATTTCAGGACTGCGTATGACAGCATAATAAGCGAAGAACTGTATAGTGCTCTCAGAGAATTTAACATACCTGAGAAACTAATACGTTTCATCAAGCTTACTACGACGGATGTGAGATATATGGTTAGAGTGAATGGTGACAGATCAGAAGAATTTTGCGCAGGTAAAGGACTCCGACAAGGGGATGCACTTGCCTATATGTTGTTTAACCTAGCTCATTAGAAAGCCGCGAGAGATGCTGGTTTATGCGAACGACAAGGAAACATTTTTATCAGGCTTGTCCAACTGTTGGCCTATGCAGATGATATAGGCCTTGTGCGACGCTCCCTGCAGTTCGTGAATGATACTTTTCTGGCACTGATGGGTCATGCCAGCTGACTTGGAATGGAAATTAATGAGTCCAAAAGGAATATATGGAAACAAAAGAAATTCTCACGCCAAGCAAGACAGTCACTATTGCGTCTCATAAATTTGAGAAAGATTTGGAGTATCTGGGATCTGTAGTCACTAGGATAATAACCCCGGTATTGAGATAAGAAGAAGGATCATAGCGCCCAACAAGCAACTTTGGGTTGAGCAAACAGCTAACCAGGCGGACACTTTCCAGACAGACCAAGCTCCATCGCTACAAGACATTGGTGTGTCCCGTACTTCTTTATGGATCGGAGTGCTGGACAACTTAGAAGACCATTGAAAAATAGCTCCTTATTTTTTAAACAAAAGTTCTTCTCCGTATTTTAGGATATTTTGAGTGAAAGCAATGCTTTCGGAGAAGCCGACGTTGTGAAAGAAATGAAGTTGAGACGTTTAAGATTTGAGGGGTATATTGCCGGAATGGTGGATGGAGGAATGCCTAAAATATTTCTTGCACAGCCAATCTATGGAACAAGGAGAAAAGGGAGACCAAGGCTGAGATGGCCGGATGGTGTGGCTAGAGGCGCCCGCAGCATGCTGCTGAGTTAGGAACTGGATGCCGTCGGCGCAAGACCGTGACGATTGAAGGAAACGGTCAGAGGCACCGTGAAATAATAATAATAACTAAAGATTATTTAGTTAAAAACTTCAAAACCTTTCTTATGATCAACTGTTACATCCCCTATCTCAGGCTGTTGAAATATTAAATACTGACTGCTAAGCTGGATGGTGCCATATTTCTGCACTGAAAAATAATTTTAAGTATAAATTCAGAAAACGAAGTTTTACCCGGCTATAGAACTAAAACAGAATAAAATTATGTTTTTGAACTATATTTCGCTGAGAAGCCAGCTGGAAATGTTATGGATTGTGAAACTGTTTTAATTGAGTAAAATTGGTTCTTGTAACAATAAAGGGCTCGGTAATATTGAGAAAAGAGTGATGAGCTCCCGCTATATTTCGTTACATATATATAAGTTTAGGTCCGCCGTGAGATGGATAAGATTTCTAAGATTTAATATTATTTCTTTCATTTAAAAATAAACACATGGTAAAGACTCGGTGATAAAGACTCTACTGCTTGTAAAATAAAAACTTATTGAAAATTAATCTATTTCCAGTTGTTTGTTTCTTTATTTTTTCTATTTATCGAAGCCAATAGTTAACATATATATATATATAATTGTACGTAATTTGAAGTAAATTTTATCAAATTTGCGGAGAAGGAATTGTTAATTAATTAAATTAAGTATTTATTTGGTTATCGCTTCCTATTCAGTAAAAAACAAGACTCTTAAAAGAACACAAATCTTGGATTTCCCAGAAGGAAAGAAAAGTTCCTGCTGAAAATTGGCTATATATATATATATATATATATATATATATATATATATATATATATATATATATATATATATATATATATATATAAAATTTAAACTATCAACAAATTGGTAGAACACTAATTGCATAGTGTTTGTTCATAATGACATTTTTGAACCAACGTTATAGAGTTAGTCTTCCATCTTTAAATGACATTTATTAAAACTAATCAATGATATATATTTTTCAAAAACATGTTTGCTTTTTATGTTATGTTTTGACTTACAAATTCACGTTAAGTTTAAACTAAAATTGACTCATAATTTTATTCAAGATACCAAACCATACGATGCGCATACCTGCCCGTTCCAGGGAAATGGAGAGAATTTGATAGGCTTGGCGGTTGGGAAGACGAACCTCAAGTTCGGTACTTCCGAGAAGCCCCCTATGAGTTTCTCTATATACGTTTTTGCTTCAGATCCACTTTCACCTGAAATAAACGAAGTTTTAATTATTAGGAACAGATAATATTAAACATAATTATGTTAAATTTATGTGAGTACAAAATTTATTTTTACTTTGTAGCAATGTAAACTTTACAATTTGACTTGGGGCACCCACTTATTTTATTCTAGGATATACTAAATACTTCAATCAAAATTTGGTAATTATTTAAGTGGTACTCCTCCGGCCATCTTGGTTGAATTGAGGTTATCCGCAATGTTTCAGATAAGGTTTACAAAACACTCCACCAGGCAGCGCCACTATTATGGAGGGGTTGTCTTGTCAGCTCTTGTCCCCTCCACCTTACGTTCATTCCAAATAATTACCAAATATAACATTTACAATATATATTAGCAACATTTTTTTTTAACTTATCTAAATTGATTAGAAATTAATATATACAATTTAAATATCTAAAATATACAATGGTCAACTATCAAGTATTTAAAAATTTAGATAAAGTGTCACAATTACAAAAAAATTTAAGTTAATGAAGTTCTTACAATGAAACAGATTGTTTATGACAGTATGTAGCCCATTTGACTGAAAATCTGTTTGATTGTCAGAATATATACAAAACCTATAAGCATAAATAATATTATGTTGATAAGATGGAAATTGGAATGGGTGTTTAATCGATATTTATTTCCCATGAAGTGAAAATAGTGGGGAAAGAATGCTAACTTTAAAAAAAGGCGGGTAATATGTAACCTAAACGATATAATTTCTACGTTTGCTTAAAAAGGAGGTGAGGTGGAGGGGACAAGAAAACCCCTTCGCAATAGTGGCGCTTTCTGGTGCTCTATTTTGTAAACCTTATCTGAAACATTGTAGATAACCTGAATTCAACCAAGATGGCAGAAGGTGTACCACTTGTAAATAATTACCCAACATTTTCGTTTATTAAAATAATTTTTATCGTTGTTACTGAGTTTTAAATTTTAAAGTAGTTGACGATTTTTTAAATATGTCTATAAAAATAAATTATACATAAATTATCCTGTCTCACATTTGAATTTAAGTTGAGGTGTAGGCAACGGATTGCAACACACAGTAGGTGCACGAATATAATTAAATACCATGAAAATACAAACAGCCCATACAAAATACAAATAGTCCATTTTAGATTTTATTACATTAAATAAAAATTCATTATTTCTTACACTTGTCTCCTTTATTATGTTTTGTATAACCCACGGATTTTATACAGAAAAAAATATATTCAAGCCATTATTTGACAGTTTATATATTTGTGTTATAAAAATGTTTCTACAGGTACTTAGTTATCATAATAATAATGACAACTAAAAAAAGAAAACGTGTTTTTTTTCTCTCTAAAACTTTGAAAAGAATATCAAATATCTCAAAACAATCAAAAATACCCAGACATTATATCATCACTATGGACTCATTTGCTTAGCATACCATAACGCTACCACATTCACCGGAACTAGTTTCTATAATCAAAATATAGAATCCAGAGATGATTCTTAATTTACGAGAGTTTTTTGCTCAGACTTGCTGTTAAAAACAGAATAACAAAGCATAGAACAATTGTAAGAAATAAAAAAACAACAGCTTTATCTTACCATGGTATTAAATTAATCGCACATTTGACTTTGACAATGCAAAAATATTTAATAGTGCAGAAAACAATAAAATAAGAAAAACACTGAAATCCAAATTGATAACAAAAACATAAATAATGCAGTAAACATTACATCTTTTTTTATTTATTTATTGAAATTTTAATAAATATAATTTCAGTATTAACCTAAATATATCATGTAAATGTGAATTGTTATATAACATGTACAAACGTAGAGAGGAACTATCCTTAAGCAGCATTTATATATTAGAAGATCTCGAAGCCATCTTCTTTACAGACGCCTAAGAGAGTTGTCAGAAATCGAAATGGATACAAGGCTAGAATGTATTAGGATGGACTTGATGTTTACTATTGGAGGATATGTATCTGGATTGAGCTAAATCGGCTACATAAGGAACATTATGAACAATTTGATTTGCGACAAATTAAGGAGCATTTTGCAAAGGATTTAGGATTGGAAAGAGTAGATACGAGTGGAATTTGATGGTTTGGCGGAGCCCTAAACCTTAACTCCACAAGTCCAAATAGACTTATAATGGTCAATAAGGTAAGTAAATGAGTCACTTATAGTTAATTGGCAGTTTAGAGCGTTTTTCTAGTGAGTGTTGAAGTATCCGGAGCGTTTTTTGTCGTTTAAGTCTTGTATTAGGATTGCAGGTAATACGTTTGTCTAGATGGAGTGGTAGATGACAAGGAGGAATGTCCTGAAGTGGTGGTTTTGACTGAATATGGGAGGTCTGGGTCTTGGACATGGAGGTTTGAGGCTTAGGCTTGAAAGCCTGAGGTGTCTGACGTCGCGGCTGTTGAGTTTTCATTGTGTCAGAAGATTTTTGTCTAAAATCTTTAAGAGGATAATCTATAGCTGTTGTCGGATTAATGGTGGTGGTAAAATCACCAATTCTGAAAAAAAATTGATAAGTTATCCAGTGCGGGTGCCTGTACCTTCGATTCTTCCTTATTAGACTTTTTGAAGTGAAGTTATGAGTTCTCTGTTTAGAGATTCTTGTAAACTACTTTACCCCTTCAGTTCATAGGATGATCTTCTACACATTAAACTGGCTCATTCCGCGATAACTGACGATTGTAAGAGGCGTGAGGAGCACCACATCTAATACACTTAGTAGGATAATTACATAGGCCATTTTGTTTCGACACTTAGTGCATTTTACGATTATCGGTTTCTGTTTTGGCTTTTCAAACTTTACTGTTAATAAACCAAATATTTTCAGTTCTTTTTTTAATAATTAGCTTCCCGATCAGATCAGCTATTTCTTTGCCGAACTGTCTGAAAATTTGAGAATATAGATCGGTGGTCGCTCTAGTGCGCAGAAACTCCGAGGTTTCGTAATCTTGTTAGATTTATTATTCACAGAATTATTGCTGAATGTGCTGTTAGTTGATTTAGGTTGGTTTTATGGCTGAATTGAACTTGCGGCGAGTTTTTGGCTTCGGTTTATTTCGATCGACAGGCGGTTTTGATTTAGCCGATTTGTTTTTCTTTTTATTTGATGGTTACCCGCCGATCCGAGGGCAGTATTTCGGTGACGTTTTTGGATAATACGAGCTTTCAAATATTGTGAGCCAGTCTTACTGAGGAGTCTCTTCTTCCGAATCATCGTCAGAGTAGTTTTATCCTATTCCATAATAATGAAATATATAATAAATTTAAAAACATACGAAAATTTAAAGTAAAACAACAAAAATCAAGAAAATCGACAAATAAATACTTAAAACTAATCTACTTACATAGTACAAATATTAAATTAAACGTTTTCTATAAGTAAATAAAATTAGTCTCGGCAAAAAAAAAAAATAAAGGGAAAGTAGAACAACAAAAAACAAGAAAATTATTTTATTTACAACTGTATAAAAAATACATGTAGTAAATTTGTACAATGGATGTAATGACATGAAACTAATTAAATATTTTTGGTTTATTATTTTGAATAATAAACCATTGTAATCGAACAAAAATTAAGCGCCTCTCAAAATTTAAAGGTTTTACGTATCAGGATATGGAGAATTCGAAAAACCAATACAATTTTTTTTGTCCGTCCGCCGTCCACCGTCCGTGCATTTTCTCCGAAACTACTGGGCCAATTTTTTTGAAATTTGGATTTAAAGTCAGAGGTCACCCGAGGATGATCCTCCTTCATCGACATAACCATTCGCCTTTTACTTTCAAAATGGCGTCCGAAATCTTGTTTTCGAAAACTGCATTTAGACTGTAGCGCCTAAATGAATGTACCGATTTCAATGAAACTTGGCTAAAGTCTTTTCCTCGATGCCCTTTCAATTTATCTATGTAAAATACTTCAACGAAAAGAAGCTGGAAAAAAAGATACGAGGGGTGGTAAAATTATATTCTGAATAACTTAAAAAGTATACACTTTGTTGTTGATATTGTGATAAGATCTTTTAAAGGTATTTAAATTAAAAAAAAAAAAACAAAGAAAGTTTCATCGAAATCAGAGCACTATTAGTGAAGATATCCCGATTTGAAAACATTTTTTTTGTCCTTCTGCCGTCCGCCGTCCGCGCATTTTCTCCGAAACTACTGGACCGGATTTAAAGTCAGACCTCACCTGAGGATGATCCTCCTTCATAGAGATTACTATCCGCCTTTTCCTTGTTATGGTTATTTCAAAGTTTATGAAATTTCCTTTAAAAAAATCGTAAACATCGGACAATTTAGAGCAAAGATATGGTCTCTAGATGTTTTTTATGTTCTACTGCAAATCCTTTGTTTTGGATTTTGATTTCTGAATGTGTTACTGGAGTGATGCTATTTTTTTTTTTAAACAAATTACTAATGATAAAAAAAAAATTGGCAAATAACTGGAATTAACTATTTATTTCTTTGAACTAGAACGGTAATGTTACTTTAGATGTATAATTGTTTGGTGATTAATAAACCATTGTGAAATAATTTGCACCTTTTTTATAGATAAATTAAAAATGAGCCAATGAGGCTTCGACACTTGTTAATAACATTAATAAATGGATGATGTTAAAAGGTAATTAAATCTTTGAAAACACCCTATATGATATTACTTATCATACTTTTTGCAATATGTCTACGATAAATAAATAGATTATATATAATACGTGTGCGGGTGTGCGCATTTGTGTGTTCTCAAAATCAAGTACTTTAGAATCTTCGAGTGTATGTGAATTTTTTAATGCTGAAAAAACATAACACTGAACAAATAAATGACTCTTGTATAAATGTATATCTAAAGTAAATAAAATAAAATATAATAATTCGCCATGATTCTCATTTTTTTTTCAATAAGAACACTCAAATATGGATTGTTTAAACAATTAATTTCAAAACCCGTAAATAAGGTACAGTTTTTTCCTCTCAAAATTCTTTAAAAGTAACTATATAAAGAGTTATTTTCAATCAATGTTATACTTCATCAATAAGAACTATTAAATTCGTAAAACCTCTTGTAGTAGGATATAACCTCTGATCGAGAATTTTGTGGGCCTTTTTTTTCTTTTATTTTTAAAGATTGAAAAAAAAAACTACATTAACGATGTGCCTTGGCAAAAAAAAAAAATAACAATGGTGTTTTTTGATATATATTTCTTATATTATATTATATTTTTACTTGGCACCTGCTCAAGTTTAGTAACTGTATAAGTGTTATAATTTAAAAAGAAAATATTATTGGTTTATTGCAAAAAGTCTCAAAGTACACTTTTGTTCGATTTTTATCTGAAGGTAAGTAGTTGTTAATTTTGATCATATTTATCGAATCAATAACTTATGAGGCGCATACAAATAATACAAATCTTTTTATTCGAAAAAAATAGTTTCACTAGAAGTGTACGATGTTCTGACTTTATACAGCAAAAGTCACTGTCTGGTATTTAATGATCTCTTGTTCTCCAAATGATGTTAAAATAGATCGCCAAAATTCACTATCTCATACTTAACGACTTTCATCGGATTGATTGATCAAATGGTTAATAAAACAAAGTGAGCTAAATCGATTTTCCCTTCTTTGTACTTGCAAGAATTTAATTTATAATCTTCCTATGATTTTTTATGAAAGTTTAACTATGATAGTGTGAAAAAGTCACTATGTGCGTCGTGGTTTCATTTTTTTTTTTAATTGTTAAGCATTTTAGAAGAGAATTATGGTCGGGGAGATCAGTCGAATAAAAAATGACAAAAATAAATAATAATATATATTTTTACATTTGCCGACGTTTTGACCCGAAGTTCAGGCCTTCGTCAGGGCTGAGAAAAGAAACAGATAATAATAGGCATGAGAAACATAAACAATGTAGGTAGAAAAACTTAAAATAAAATGAAGTAGATTAGTGAACATTAAAGTAAAATAAAGTAGGTAGAATAATAACAATAACAAGAACTAAGAAATAAATAATAATAACGTATGAAAAGTGCGGACTAATGAAGTAAACATAATCAATAAGGTAACATAAGAACTAAAAATGGTAATCTTAAAATAAAATGTAAAACAGAGACAAGGAATATGAAGTTATATAAGGAAATAATAGATATAACTAGAAAATTGAGAGATATTGTAAACTATATCAAAATATAGAATAGAATATAATAGAAAAATCATCTTTATTCTGGGACTAGGTCCCTTTAGAATAACAGTATTGTTCATATAAATTAACCACAAATCTAGCCAAAAGACTTATTACAATGAATAATAACAAAATACTAGTAATAAATTAAGTATTAATTAAGCTCTTAGGATAAATTAACGAGAACAGTTGGGTAATAGGGGTTCAGTACTACAATATTGGAGCTAAAACAAG